ATTTGGAGTCTCCCTGGAACCTAATGTGGACGACTTGACATATACCTACCGTTATGCCAACATGAATTTTTTTTTAAATATTCACTGTATAGATTTTTATTACACCAAAGGGAGTGTTGGTTCTCTGTCATGCGACGACAATACTTTAATAACGAGACACTCTTGATAGAGATACAAGCTTAGCACCGAATACGGAGTTAGAGAAACTCAGCAACCCTTTCTATGAGTAGAACAGATACTTCCCTTAAATCTCTCTTTTCAGAATCGTTTATGTACCACAATAATCATTTCAGTCTCCGATGCCCAGCGTCACTGAAAGCAAAGGAAAAGTAAAGTAGCTTTCTAGGCCCTAGTTAACGCAACATCTCGTTGCGGTAACATGTTGCAGGTTTTTGAAAGCAATTCAAAAACTTGCAAAATTGTTGCCCGAATTTGCATGTTGCGTTAAAAATCATCTCGTGAAACATACCGTTGCCGACCGCTGCCGCAACAAAGTAGCGTCAAAAGTTATCTCGTGTAACATGGATTAAAAATCGGCTTTAAAAATTGGCGTTAAAAATCGGCGTACGTTAAAAAAATCGGCTCGTGTGACGTCACCTTTGGGCCAGGTGGACTGGGTTCCAGATCAGATGTATCTTCTATTCGTCTAAGTTGTCTGGCAGTTAGTAAGTCAAGAGTACATGAGCAGTTTTTTTTTATCACAAACTCAAATTTTGTACCCTTGCATTCGAGGCCAATACGAAAACGTTGCCAGAACACAAAATAAGACGAGCAAATTCGATCATTCACGATAGATCTTCAAACAAGGATAAATTCTGGTCGGTGAAACGGTATTGTCGCGACCTCATCCCCAGGGCCTTCCCCTCGACGATTTGTCATTCTCAAAGCTCCTCGTTGGAAGAGGGGGTTGCGATTTTCCCGCGGGCCGAAGCAAAAACAGATTGGTTTGTGAAAGAAAACTCGCTGATGTCGCCGAGTCTTAAGTGAACAACGTTGTTAATTATATCTCAAAAAATTTTGCATGCCTGGCCTTGTACATATGCTTTTTTTTTTCTCACTGTACATTATGACTAAACGAGAGCAAAATATGATTTAATCATGAGATTAAAGCCCCGTGCACACTACGCCAGAGAAATTTGAAAACAGCGTTGTCACCCTGAAAACGAATCAAACGTTTTCCGTCCACACTACGCTAAAGAAATTTGAAAACGCAACAATCAGCGGTCATTTTGGATTTGTTTTCGGGGAAGACTCGGTCAAGGAGATCACGTGATTATCATGACGTCATCGTTTTCGAAAAGCTCCGTTTTCAAAATGTTTTCCGTCCACACGAAAACGCAAAGTCGCCGTTTTTAAATTCCTTCGGTGTGAAGAGTGTTTTCGAGAAGCTCTGTTTTCGTGACGGATTAGTGTAGACGGTAGGCCTGATCATAGAAATAAAGCTGCGTCTTCAAATTTCTCCGGCGTAGTGTGGAAGGGCCGGGGCCTTAAAGATACGTATAACAAAAAAAAAAAAACTTATTATGCTAGTTATTTTTTCCTGTATTTTCTTTGTTTTTTTTTTATTATTATGTCATGCCTCGTGTAAGGACTAGTTAAATGATCGATTTGATTTGTTGTTAGAGTATTGGTGGAGTGTAAGAATGAAAATTGAAATGGAAAAAGGATTAAAAGTGCACTTCACGTTTCTGGAAACTGTGTAATGATTAGTCTGAGTCGCTGTTGCAGAATCACAGTTTGTTTTTTTCCTTTTGTTTTGTTTTGGTTTTGAGAGTGATGTCCATTCGTTTCACTTTATTTCTTTGTGTAGAACTGAGAGAGCGCGGTCCTGGACGCCCGATATCACGCGCTTGTCTCGGCCCAATCTCTTCGTCAGTTCACACAACGCCAGCTACTTGAGGATGGTCATGGTGAATTGTTTTAAAATCCTCATTTGTCGAATGACGGGTATCAAAGTTTCGTGTCTTGTTAATCTAATTAAACATGACCATCCGAGTTAACAGGGCAATGTCACGCTACTGGTTTTAAAAGAACATACTATCAAAATTCAAAGGGAGAATTTAACTCCTTTTGTAGTGACAGCCTTAAACCGGTATAAATTATACTGCTCGGTCTGTGAATAAGGAAGTCGAAAATGTAAAAAAATAAAGGCTAAAATAAAGTAAAAACAATTCGAAATAATTCAACCATCTGAATCGATCCGAATCGTGGGCGAGTTTTATATTCCGGAAGCATACCCAAGGATATAACAAGTGTCCTATGTAATAACTCCAAAATGTCGTGATCGGTTTCAGCAAGACAAAAAAACACGTTTTCCACATTCCATTTTAGGAATTGATTTTCTGACTCCCTCTCGATCCTGCTGGTCCCTTTAAAAATTAAAGCTGAAGCCTTTCAGTTGTCATCTTATTGCATGCTTAGGTGTACCTCCTTCACAGCTGGGAGTGTCTTGAGTATAATCTTGAGCGATGAATGTAAACTAATATTTCTTGTATGAGAGAATTCAAAGGTTATTTAGGGTGTTTTCTGAAATTAGTGCATGAAAGGTCACAACGAAATAAACTTTGTTTATACGAACATTGTTAGTAACAGACCGTTCTCCCCTGTCAAAACATTGAGGGTGTGACATCTTAATATGACGAGAGGATTCTTGTCATTATCGAGGGTGTGTGCCAATGGCATGACCAAATGAGAACACTTCATTTCATTGTTATGTTTTCGCTTTCAAGGATCACTGCCCTTCTAACTAGATGCTGAGTCAAGCCTTATACGTGTAAAAATTTTGACCTTTCGACCAACGCCTACGAAGGAACCGGAAATTGAATCGTCTCGAAAGTGTAGGCACAATTATTCTTGTCCACACGCATGAAATAAATTAGATCCACAACAAATTGAAACTGAAAGGATTCAGACCTCAAAGAGAATTATCGTTAACAATGTTTCTGCTTGGAATTGGTCTCGTTCTTCCATTCGTGATGCAAGGTAAGAACTATTTTTCGACTTTGTTGTCACGCACTCATCTAAACACTGGCATTGAAAAGAATCACTAGCTAAGATTCTTTTGTTATTTGTAACATCTAGTCTTGTAGAGTCGAGACACTTTTATCAGTAGGACAAGTGTTTAGTGTGTACTGTAATTGTTAATTCAAGAGCGGTTTATCCTAATGAGGTAAAGGAAAGGCAAGAAATGAAATTTTTGAAATAGAAGCGGTCGATATTTCCGGCGTTTCCAAGGTACCAAAGCTTTTTTAAAAGTGAATACATTTAAACGGGTTTGTCCGTGTTATTCAGCATAATAAAGTATTAAAGACTCTCCTGTTTGTTCCAGTAACCGCTGTTAATAAGAGTAAGACTTATCATAAAGCAACAAAAATTTAGGCATTTAGATGGTCTGAAAATTTATTTGCCTCACCGGCATAAGGTAAATGCGGTTTTGTAAAACAAATAAAAGGAAAGGCATTTCACCAAGTTTTGGACGTATTCTTCCCCTACCAAGGTATGATTAATGGTCAACAAAAAGGAATAAAGAAATACGGTATGCTATCACGATATTAGCTACTCGGGCGCATAAAAATTACCATGATAAGGTCTCCAGAGCGCCTTTAATTTATTCTGATTACCTACTGTATGTTGAATTCTTCTCGCGTTTTGATTGGTTCTTGATTATGATCCATTGGAGGACAGATCCATAGATGACGTCACTGGCAATATGTGTTTTTTGTTGTTGTTTCTTTATTATATAGAGCATAGTTAGGAAATAGTTAAGAAGCCCGGTAAACATCAAAGAAGTAAACAAACAGAATATGATTTATGTTGGAAGGTCCTTGACCCTGCACATCTTTTGTTTTATGCTCATGGACTATGCATGAATTACATAATCGCAGTGCATCTAATGGTTAGTCGTACGAGCACACATAACAACCTTTTGTATATTTTAATAATGATAACAATAACAATGATAATAATAATAATAATAATAGACAAAATTTTATTGAGCTCATTAAAATTCTTCACTATATGACAATTATTTGCAGCACTAAACTATTTACAATAATAATTGTAATAAAGTCGTTAAAAAAGGAAGGAAAATGTAGTTTACAGAAATGAATAAAATTGAGAAGAGCTGAAAATTGGAATGACTTGTTGAAAATGTCACNATAATAATAATAATAATAATAATAGACAAAATTTTATTGAGCTCATTAAAATTCTTCACTATATGATAATTATTTGCAGCGCTAAACTATTTACAATAATAATTGTAATAAAGTCGTTAAAAAAGGAAGGAAAATGTAGTTTACAGAAATGAATAAAATTGAGGGAAGCTGAAAATTGGAATGATTGTTGAAAATGTCACAGAAACGTAGCAAATGTATTTGCAGTTTGTGTCATCGATTGTACGCGAGAAGTAATAAAAACAAAAAACAAAAGAAAATATCCCTCAAACTTTACAATACACATTCTACTATTTATGAAATCTTACTCGTCCTCGCATTAATTCTATTACTAGTAAGTAATAATAATGATAATGATAATGATAATGATAATGATAATGATAAT